GTGCTTCTTCTTTATAATCAGACAGAAGCTAGTAACATTTTTTTCCTAATAGCCGCATGCATCAATTTTACGGCACAAGTGAACTATGCAGTTGGCAGCATTTTATCTCAGCCGCAACCTATCACAACAGGTGATATTAATGGGAACGGCAAATCTGACATTATTGTCGGACTTTACCGTTCAAACAGCGTCATCATTCTCTTTAATACAGGCGATGGCACATTTAATACTCAAGTCAGCTATTCAACTGGTCTTAATCCGTCGTTTGTGGGAGCAGCCGATGTCAATGGGGATAGCAAACTCGACCTTGTTGTCGCAAATTTTAACTCAAATAACATCGGTATTTTCATTAACACCGGCAATGGTACATTCCTTCCACAAGTTACTTATTCAACCGGCAATGGTTCTCACCCATATTCTGCGGCAATAGCCGACGTCAATGGAGACAGCAAGCCGGATATTATTGCTGCAAATTGGGGTTCAAACAACGTCGGTGTTCTCCTCAACAGCGGCACTGGCACATTTGGTACTCAAGTGACCTATTCAGCTGGCACTGACCCCAAATCGGTGGTAGCAGTTGATGTCAATGGAGATAGCAAAATCGACATTATTGTCGCAAATAGCAATGCAAACAACGTTGGTGTTTTTCTCAACAATGGCGCTGGCACATTTCGTGCTCAGGTGACCTATTCAACCGGCAATCAGTCACTTTCTGTGGCAGTAACCGATGTTAATAGTGACGGCAAACCGGACATTATTGTCGCAAATTGGGGTTCAAACAACGTCGGTGTTCTTCTCAACAACGGTACTGGCACATTTGGCACTCAAGCGACCTATGCAGTTTCTTCCGGACCATATTTTGTGGTAACAGGCGATATGAATGGGGACAGTAAAATCGACATTATTGTCGCAAACGCCAATTCATACACCGTCGGTGTTCTCCTCAACAATGGCAATGGCACATTTGCTTCTCAACAAGTTTATTCAATTGGTTCTTCTTTTTTGTATGCTGTGACAGTAGACGATGTCAATGGAGACGGCAAACTCGACATTATTGTCCCACTTTATAGTTCAGGCAAAGTTGGTGTTATATTATCTGGTTGCAAATGATCTTCAAATTAAACGCTATATAACGAGTGTTTTATAATAAATGACCTATTTTTCTATTTCTTTTTCTTCTTATCTTGTATGTTTATTTTAAAACCAAAATATATTAAGAGGTGTAGCAGAGACGTCCATCGCGGCGCGGTAGCGGTAAGTTTTTTTAACGGCGCGTCGCGGTAGTGGCAGATTCTCAATCGCGATGAACATCTCTGAGATGTAGTGTGAAAATCACTATAATTTACATACGATAGCTATTTTTATAGTTGTAATTATTATTTTCAAAAGCGGCAAAATTCTGAGCGTCGCAATTTTGACTTTGCACAAGCCGTTTGTTTTGGATAAAAGCTGAATTCGTTTTTTCTTACTTTATCTTCTCATAGTTGTTCTTTGTAAATTGTAGAGCTGTTCATGCTGCGTACTTCCTAATAAGAAAAGGGGGTACAAAAATCGACCACTTATTATGGGACACCCGTTAGTATAATAATACTGAACAGAATATACATTTGCAAATATTAAAACTACATAGCACTACTTGCGAAACAGAAACATTCGATACTGCAAGACAAGTACTCAACTGTCATACTCAGTTCTTGACATCGCAGTGGTATTGCTAGATACTTACTAGTTCATGTGGCATTTCCTACCATGAGCACCTTCGCTAGGAAGTTTACATTCGCTTAGTAACACATTTAATAGAATAATGATTTATGTATTCGTGAGAGATCGATCATATGATTGGTAAGTAGCGAAATTTATTATTGGAAACGCTCACATAATAAAATCTTTAAGATATTTCTACAGTTATATAAATTAACATAACAAATACTGAAAAAACCGTTGTATCTTTATCGTGTAAATATTAATAAACAGCAATTGCTCGATACGATTTCCTTCTTATTTTTGATATGTTTTAAATGTGTAACGAAGTTCAAGTTCTGTCGCCAACATAAATACTATTCGTCTTGTTTGAACCGTTGAACTTGTTTGATAACGATCCATTCCTATTTTGAGAAATTCAACAATAATCATTTTCTAAAAGAATGTTCAGATGTAAAATATACTAGCGAGAACCTGTGTATACTGCACGGTCGTTTTTGTGTACTCAAAAAGTGAGTACACTACTAAAATCGGTCAGTGTGTCCGTCCGTTTATTCGATAACTTTTGAAAGGAGAGTCCGATTGCGATGAAAGGATGGGGGCGGATTTCCTAGCAAAATCGGCCCTATTTGAAAATCATGAGAAAACTTCCACTAACTCCATATAATGAGAAAGGTAATTGATTCCACTATCTGCCTACATAACAGCTTTAGTTATCCTAGTGATTTTCTTACTGATTTAAGCATACATATGGTAGAGAGTATATGCGACATAGGAAGTACAGGATACAGACTAATTGATGGCTGGCTTGTATATCCTCAACCCAGGGAGAAATGAAACGGTGAAGATGCCGTTTAAACGGCCATAGCTGCCCATTATACTGAAATGGCCGTGAAAAACGCCAAAAAATGTGATTTTTACTTTTTTTTACCGTTTTAACGCTTCACTCACATTTCAAAGCGTGATCTATATCTTATAACCGTTTAAACGTTTATATAAGTTAACATCTTCTGTGTGAGGAATAGCGATAAACATTTAAAATCATGACTTTTTCAGTGAAAATCGCTATAAATACTCAAAGTAAAATATTTCTTTTTTTTTCGATGGGACTATAGGTGTCTTCATTATTTATGTTCTACTGAATTTGTGCTTGTTATTGTTTCATAGTACATGCAAAAATTAAATCTGTTGGAGTTGATGTTTCTCATTGTTGTTCAATGCTTATTTTAAAAAGGATTAATTAGTTGTATTTGTGTTTATATAACAAAAAAAATCTTCTTTTGATTAAAATGTCTACATATATTCTTTAAATATCAATCAATTTAGATTATGTACTAGTACGAAAATTAGGATATCGAAAAAACAAGTAAGATGTATTTCTTGATTTTGGTTGTAAATGTTCACGTTGAAATGCTAATTTTTCAATTACGTTGGAAGTCCGAATTATATGATAAACCGAAGGTGTTTTAACATGTCCAATCATGACATTGGGGCATTGGAATTTTTGATCACCAATTATTAATTCCTCAGCATATAACGTAATTGAAACTTGTTGTATCATAAATAATATGTCATTATTAATCATAAGTTTTACAATACATTTTACAAAACCTACAAAAAGATTTTTCAAATTATTCATGTTATACAAAATACAGCTATCGTTGATCATATTGTCTAAAGTATCTGATTCGCTACTGAATCTTATATTATTAATAAATGCTGTATTGTAAATGGTGTATGAACCAGGCACCCATTTTTGTGCAAGAAGCACATCCAGATCAGATGTAGCCACACATTTGTTTCTAAGACGAATTGAAGGATTTTCATTCAGACCATATGTTAGTGAAGAAGGCAATGCCTGATGATTATTAGCAAGTATTTGTTTTACAAAAAGTTTACCATAAATTGAAAAGGATGTGCTGCTCACAGCCAACCATGATTGGTGAAAAAGCTCAAGTGAATTTTTCAATTCAGTACTCATAGCTTTTGCACTGTTGATATTACGTGCAAATGATCCTATCGGAGAAACATTAAATCGATATAGTAAAGTAACTTAATATTACTTACCAACAACCGATTCGAAAGAAAAAGTATTCCAATTTGACATTGGACCAGCTTTCGCTACGCATTGTGCTAAATGCGAAACTGCATGAACAACACCTACCATCTCTTTACACTGCATAAAAAATTCACTATTCTTTGCAGTATTGAAATAAAATTATAATAATACTCACTGAATATACATCTGGTAAACGAAGATCGAATTCATCTAAAAGTGTGTTCATGTCATCAACCATATCAGATGTTACAAAACGTGCTTCTCCTATATGCGCTGCAAATGCCAAGATCTTCAACAACTGATAATTTTTGTCCGGTATAAAATTTTTGAATGATCTATCAGAAAATGAATTAGTCATATAAATGAATTTACATGAATAAGTAGCCTTTTTAAACTATTATGTGAGTCAACATTTTTTTAAAAATTGAAAAAAGTAATATCTTAATCCACCATACGATTAATCATCATCGAAAAAGGTACACTAATAATTACTATAGTAATTACTATATATTCTAAATTCAGCTTTATTCAAATAGTATATTACACATTGCTTTAAACTCACCTGTAACCAAAAAGTAATGCAATTCTATATTCATTTCCTTTGTAATCATTGAAGTAAGATAATGAACGAGGAATTCGATAGCTAGTTGATGGATAACGAATTGTATTAAAAACTGTAGTAACATTTTGTTGTACATATTTATCATTTAATTCAATACATACAAATCGTTTCTAAAAGAGAAGATACATGATGAACAAATATTTTTCAGATTTCACGGAAACTTACAAAACAACCCGCATAAAGTGAATGCAAAGGATCTACCAAAAATCCTTGACAAACATCGAAATACTTCAGACGACGTAAAGCACAAGGACCTTTATGCCCAAGAAAATTATCAGTTACTTGTTGACGTTTTGAATTAGGATTTGTAGCGTTCAATGTGCCCTGCTATTTTTAAAAACAAGGTTATATGAGATACATTTTTAAAACCTTAAGACTAACTTTTGTCAAAGCTTTAATTACAAAATCGTAAGTTTGATTTGTTCTTTCAGTTGATTGTTCTTCTGGCAAAAACACATACGATCTGACATGACCTTGTCCAGATGGAAAATCAACACCTGCAATGAGATCAAAGACTAAATTAAAATAAAGTGCTTACATTATTTAACCTTGAATGGTACATAAATTACATCCATAATAACCTGTGCATTCTATCATATTAGTTAACATAGCAGTTGCGGGTTTATCACAAACGCCACGAAAAAGGTACACTTTATATTTTTTTTCCTTGTTTTCTCCGCTAATTTGTACATCATTATCATGTATATTATCTTCATTAATAATCACACCTTCACGTTCCAGTATTACTAGTTGATCAACTAAACCATCGAGCAAAATTTGCATCTCGTCTCGTTTTAGTTTTGCTTTAGCTGAACTATGAGAGACCATTGCCACGATTATATTTTTTGGGTCGAAACGAACATCTGCAGGTAATTCATTTATTGCGAAACATGTGATCCATACAGAGTAAGAAATCTTTTTCAGCAAAATTCCATCTGAATTCATAAGTAATGTTATAAAAGGTGAAGATTCTCGATCAACAATATGACGATAACTTGAACTATCGACGATATCCGATACTCTATTAAGATCCCATGATGGTTTCAACAGATTGGGATTACGAGCAAGTATTGAAGATATTTGAGGTTCAATGTGAAAAGTCAAATTGGTTGTTGGCATTCGTTCATATACACAGTTGCTTCTACAAGATGGATCTGGACAGAACTGAGAGTTTTCACTGACTCCATAACAACTTGGACAAATTATATCTTTTTTAGCATAAAAGAACTTAGTCGTTCGTTGTAAAACAATATTTGTAATGCTGTTGCTATTCGTAGGTGTATTTTTCACACCAAGTAAGCGTAGAAGACGACAAATAGAATTGAGACAACTGATGGTTAGTTGATGTCTCTGTCGAAGAAAAATAAGTAACACAGCAATTTCAAATGGTGTAAAGGAATGTTTATGTTTCAAGTTTGAAAAATGTGACTGATGATGATTTAATGGACTATGTACCCCACGATCAGCTGCTCTTGTCGTATGTGTAGAAAAATGATGATTGATAATGTCTTTTACACTTTCTCCCATAGGGTGTAGGTGTGGGTGTGTGGGTGTGGGTGTGGGTGTGGGTGTGGGTGTGGGTGTGGGTGTGGGTATGGGTGTGGGTGTGGGTGTGGGTGTGGGTG